GATGACGTGGAGTGATGAAGCGACTGGGGACTTTGAATCCAGAGAGAGAAAGGGACTGTGGCCCGAAAACTTGTTGGGGGGTGGAGGATGAAGTGTAGGAGGCGGGTTTCTAGGATATACCCTTTGGTTGGTTTATGATGCATGGAGGGGATTGGAACCATGGCAGTGAGATGATATATGATGGAATGAATGTAAAACTAAAGTTCTCTCATGTGAACTATCATATAATTCACAATTAAAAAAAAAAAAAAAAACTCCCAAGAACTAAGGCTGGATTTGCTTTCATTATTACAGATTCTGGCCATATATGACAGGTTTGGTCGGTTAATGTATGGACAAGAAGATGTGCCCAAGGATGTCCTAGAGTATGTTGTGTTTGAAAAGCACTTGATGAATCCCTATGGGAGCTGGAGAATGCATGGCAAGATTGTCCCCCAATGGGCACCTCCTAAGCAGCCTATCCTTAAGGTAAGGCAGCCTGCATGGTCAAGGCAGTAGTTTTGGCATCCTAAGCCACTCCTGTTGGGCTCCCACTAGTGGAAACAGGAAGTGGAGCATTAGGGAATGGGAATACTCCTGGGAGTGGGGATGTCCTTCCCGGATAAGTCCTGGGCTGAGTTGGTAGGTAACTCAGTTTTCCTGCTTTTTCAGACGGTGATGATCCCTGGCCCCCAGCTGAAACCATGGGAGGACTATGAACCACAAGAGGAGGTTCCTAAACCTCAGACAGCCTGATGGCAAAAATGATGCTTGGGTGAGACATGGGTGATAAGGTGACTGGAAGCTGTGAAGTCATCTGTCTCTGCCATGCAATAAATAGAACTATTTTGTTCTTTCCTGTCCTGCTTGAATCTTTTCAGCAGTTGGTCTCAACAGCCAGGGCTGATGGCTGGCCCAGGTTGGTGGCTGGTATGCATAGCTGTGGATGTCCACTTCTTCCCTCTTTTTTTTTTTTTAAATTGTATGTGTAGCTTCTGAGTCTAGATAGAAAGTTATTTGTCTGAGAACATCAGATAATCAAATTTCCCCATATCAGTGACTATCAGGAGCAAACTAGGAATGTTCTCTTTCTAATTACAGGGCAGGGAACATAGTCTGAAATAAAATAGTATCAGCGTGTTGAGAAATTGTGGTATGTTGATTCAGGCTAGAGGTAGACCAGCCTTCAAAAACAGAAATGGAAAACATGCTTAGTTGTGAGTGATCTAACAGTAGTGAGATTGGCCCAGGATCGGGCGGTGTTTCGTTCTGCTGTGCACAGATAGGGTCATTATGAGTTGGTACCGACTTGATGGCACCGAACAACAGCAACAAGTCTAGACTTGAGAAAAATTACTAGTGTTTATAAGATATTGCATCACATAAGAGAATCTTTCTTATACACTGGATCACTAAATCAGTATTTGTATTTCATAGAAAAATGCAAGTCCAAAGAAATCATTTAACCTTCAGCCTTTTGGATTGTGTTCTTAATTATCAGCTGCATCCTTTATGTGATCCCAGGAAGCCTGGGTGGAGTCAGGGGCCATGGAAGGGTTGTTACATTTGAGAAATCCATCTGTAAGCCTTGGTTCCTTGATTTCTGACACTTGGAGATGGTCAGTATTCCAACCCACCTTTGGGAAGGCAAACATAACGGAATATGAATCTGTATTGAGCCCAGCAGCCCAGGCTTTGTTCTTTCCCTCCAAATGCTTGTGTATCCTGGGATCCTTTGAGATGTGACTAGGAAAATCACTCTTTACCAGGCACAGAGTGGCAAAGAGTGCTATTGTTTTCATCAACACATATGGTCTCTTCTCAGGTTTTGTACTTTCTGATTTTCACTACTTTTTTTTTTAGGGATTTTGGCATTCGAGGTAAAGATTAATCTGCTTTAACCTTGCCTGGATAGTAGAGTCCAATGGAACTAGATTCGGATTAAGGCTAGTGTAATGCTTTAGTCAGTCCACCTGAGGCTTGGTTACATCCTCTTTGCCTGAGCCCTGGATTAAAGTAAAATGAGAAGGAAAGTGCTTTCAGCATAAGTCACAGCTGGGAAGCATTGGGGATGGGGAGGTGATCCAGGGAAGGTGGGGAAGCAGAGAAGCAAAAGGGCTCACTTAGTGGGGAAATGATACACTGGTTTCTATGAATGTGTAAAAACACTGTTCCAAATAAGCTTGTTTTCGCCCCACACCCTTGGGTCTGACTCAGAGTCTCTAGATAATTCTAACTAGCAGCTAAGCAGTAACTGCCACTAGGAAGCCAGAGAATAAATGCAGTTTTAATTTCCCCTTGGAACCAAATCCAATTGAGCAGATGGCCCCAGATGTGAAGGATTGACTGGAAGGACCAGGCAGAGACCATGATCTGCAGTGTCAGCCGTAGCCAGCACTGGCGGAGAACTAGCCCGACCAGCCTGAAGGCCACAAGGCTGCAATGTTGTCGTTTGATCTTTGGAGCAGGCATTGTATTTCCTTACCTGTCTATTGCTCCTGTTCCAAAACTTTGACAAAGAAAACGACCACTATCAATAGGCTAGAGCCAGCTGCATTAGTCAAGAAAAAGCATTCTTTATTCTTTTTCCCCGGGTTTATTTCATAAGAGAGAGTGTGGGGGCAACTTTGTTGTTCTCAACTAGACTAGATTAGATGGGTGGTTCTAGGGAGCACAATTGGCAAAATTCATATTGGGTCAGTAGCTGTGGGGTTAATTCACCAGAGTCCAGAGCAACAACAGACTTTATTACTGCTCTGAGAGCAAGGGTGAATGGGAGGAAGGGCCTAGACACGGGAAAGAGTGGCTTCCTCTGTTACTTCTGCTGCTCTCATTTGGAGCTGAAGCACTTTGCTACTATTCCTGTATTGTCCTATAATTGCCTTGTTGTTGTTGTTAAGTGCCGTAGAGTCGATTCCGACCCATGGTGACCCTGTATAGGGTTTCCAAGGAGCAGCTGGTGAGTTTGAACCACTGACTTTGCAATTCAAACGACTTTGCAGTGTGATGCATGAGCCCACAGTGCCACACCAGGACTCCTTAAGTATTTGCATGTTGACTTATTTTCACCCGTTGAGTTCTAGGTTTCCTTGTTATAACTTTTTCATCCACATGAATGTCATCAATGTCTATATAGTTAGAGGGCAGGACTTTGTACCAGTGTTTTTCTCCTTCCTTATTTCCCTCTGGTGGTATCCTCTAATCCCAGTACTCTACTACCTAGTACTTCTTAGGCAAGGGTAACCTGAACTGACTGATGAGAGAAGAGAGCCAGTTAGAGGGAGCTTTCTAACAGAAGTCTTTGTACTTACATACCTTCTATTCCCCGGCTCTCAGGCCTCTAACCTGTCCCAATGCATTACGCTTTCTGAGAGCAGAAGCAATTACAATGCCAGCTGTAAACAGGACCTCCTCTTTCTTTCCCAGACATCTCTGGGAAGGAGATTGTGATTTGGGCTCCTTGGTACAGAGCAGGTGATTTAGAGTGGTTCTCACATCGGAACCAGAGATGACCTTGGCTCCAGTTGCACTGGCAGCAGAGACAGACTGGGAGGAGGAGATTGAGCAGTGAGATGAGCTCTGGAGACTGGCTAGAGATGGGGCAGGAAGAGGGGGAGAGCGTCTGAAAATAGTTAGCAAGCCAGCAAGAGGCGTGTTCCTTGAACTGAGAGAAGATGTCTTGAAGGGAGAACTCTGCCTTGCACAGTATGAGAGGTCCTGGAGGAACCACTTTTCCTTCTGTGTTCTCTGTTGCTGGTGTTACTGTCACGTGTTATGGCTGTGAGAGTGCCCCAGTAGCTCTACTGAAGAATGAAACCGCAACAGGAGAATTAGATTCAAAGTAGCCAGGTCTTGAGGTCTTCAGGCACCTATTTTGAGCTCAGTTTCCTGTTTAAACTTGAATTAAATGATTTCTTAAGCTTCCTGTGGTCCCATCCTAGGTCCACCCCAGCTATCATTGCAGAGAGATAAATCCCTGGGTCCTGAGTATTTTATAATCATAGTCCCTATATTACCGTAAGTGCCTTATGGTTAAAGTTTCCTCTTAAGAAATGGCCTTTGCAAACTTCAAAGAATGAGGTTTCCTTATGAGACATGTGATTTCCTTTTTCACTCCTAACACTGACTTTACAAGTGAGTGTCCAGACTCAGGTGGCTTGTGTTGCATGTCTAGGTGGCTAGCTGGAAGAGAGGATTCTTTAGAAGCAGGGGGCCTAGCCTTTGTCCCACGGGAAGAAGAATTAAAGGTGAAGAGAAAGTGTGACTTCTCTTGGGGTGTAAGCTGTTCCTTCCTTGTGTAGTTTATTTTTGGAATGAGTTGACTTCTGGCCTTCCTGGGAAGGGACATGGCCAAGTGCTTCTGATCTGACTCTGGGAACATCTAGGACTTAGAAAAAAAACCTTGGTTCCTGAAAACTAGTTCTATCTTTAATGTCATCTGATGAAGCTGTTACTCCTAGTCCCACGGATAGACATTTGGAAGGGTGAATTCTTTATGTTGAGTTACAGAGATTGCTTTTTGGTCTTCAGTTAAGGAGGAAGAGTTCTGAGTCTCAGCTTCTTGGAGACTTGGCTCTGGGGTTAAGCTGGTTCCTGGTCTAAACCCTGAAGGTCCTTGGAGTTCTTTAACACCTTCCAGAGTAAAAGTACCAGCTGGCCTGCTCACCTCGGGGTGGGGGCTTTTGCTTTCTGGCAGGAAGCTTCCCATAGGTCTCTGGATGGAAAGGCATGGTAGTTTCTCATAGGCTGTGGTGACAAACATTTCTGTCTGAGTAGCTGTTAGAGCCAAGAGGCCAGATTCCTCAGATGGGGCTCCAGTTCCCCCCCAGGGACAGATTTCTGCCATGGTGCCCTTTATTCTGTTTCCTTCTGGATCTGTGTCTTCCCATTGACATAGCTCTGCTGACCTCCTCCTCAGACTGCTTGCTTCATGGGGACTGGCTTTGGGTCGGTCGATGTCCAGAGCGTCTGCCTGGAGAAAGGGCTCCCTGGAATCTGTGCCTTTCCATGGGCAGACTGTCTCCTGCTCCCTGCTGGGTTTTGCTGCTGCCGCCTTTGGAAAGTGTTCTTCAGCCATTCCAGAGCTTGCCTTTGTCTCTCCTTGCCCTTGTGAGTTTCTGTCTAGGTTCTGTTCTTGTCTCCCTTCCTTTACTCATCCCCTGGGGACAGATCTCTGCTTTCTTGGCAGAGGGAGTCTCTTCTGATTCCCACAGACACGTGTCTGCTACCCTGGCTTCCATACAACCTGCAGCCTCAGTACTGCCTTTGCTTCTGTCAGAAGGTTGTGGGGTTGGTTGTAGAGATGGACCCCCACAATCTTGACTCTCCCAGACACATACAGCCTCCTTCCTGTTTACCGTCTTTGGCTTTTTCTGAACTACCAAATCTTTGGGCTCTGATTTTTCGGGGACGTTCCCCTTCTCTTGAAGTTTCCCTTTCCCATCCTGTCCTGACACCCCATTCTCAGAAAGTTGTTCATTCCCCTCCCAAGGACAGATCTTGACCTTGGAGCTACTGTCAGTTTTATAAGTATATGGGTTGGGAACATCCCATGGGCATGGGACTTCAACACTGACCCACCTCTGGGAGTCGATTTTAGACTGGTCTATGCATTGAGTGTCCCATGGATGGACAGATTGCAACTCCCTGCATGTGTTTACCCCATGTTTAATAGTGAATTCTGCTTTGGGACATGAGGCTTTTTCTTGAGTTAGCATGTTTTCTGGAAGGGAGCCCCTCCTTGGGTCTTGCCTCAGAGCCCCTTCCAAGGACTGCCCCTCAGCCACTTGAATACTTATGCTTCTGGAGAAGTCTGAAACCCTGGGGACCTGAGCAGGGGGTTCCCTCAAATCGGTGGTCTCCCAAGGACAAACAGGTTCCTGCTTCTGACTCAGTTTTACCTCCCATTTTGATATGTCTTCTCCTAGGGAGGTAAGTCTTCTTTTTTCTAGAGTTTTCTTCTTCTGCCCTGCTGACTTACACCCTGTCTCCTGTCCCAGGCCCTTCTCAGTCATTCCTTCACTTATTTCCCAGGGACACATCTCTGCTGGTCTGCTCCCCACACTGTCCAGGTCCTGGAGTTCAAGTTCTGATCTATCAGTGTCCAGAGCATGTGAATGGTGAGAGGAATCCCCTGGATCCAAACCTTCCCAGGGATGGGCTACCTCCTGCTCCCAAGCTGGCCTTTCTGGCTTCTTCGGAGCAGTTAAGCTCTCTGACTGGGTCCAGAATGGCCACAAGCCTTTCCTGTGTCACTTGGGAATTGCTTACTGTCCTCCTCTCCCAGAGCCCTTTCCTGCTCTGCTCCACCACTTGCCTCCCGGGAACAGATGTTCGCTTTCTCTGCAGTCAGGTTCTCCTCCACATCCCACGAGCAGGTCTCTGCAGTTTTGCTTCCCACGCTGCCTGACATCTGGAAACTGGCTTTGGGTTTAACTGTGTCTTGAGAGCCTGGCTGTTGGGGAAGACTGCCAGGGTCCACCCTCTCCTGGGGACACACTGCTTCCAGCTTTGGGATCTGCCTCTCAGGTTCTCTCCAAGCTTTGTTGATTCCTGGTTGTCCATGTAATTCCTCCTGGCCCTTTTGAGATTTGCCGCCTTTTGGAGTCTGTCCCGATGCCCAGTCCCCTGTTCTTCCGTTAACCTCCCAGGGACAGATCCCTGCTTTGGCAGGTGGCCCTTCCTTTATCTCTGGTTTGCTATCTTCCCATGGACATACCTGCGTCACTCTGCTTCCTCCAGCTTTGGATGGGGATTTTCCCACACCTGGGCTGGAGTGCCCAGTGGCTGTCCTCTCCCACGAACAGACAGACTCCTGCTGTTGACTTTTCCAAGCTTGTTCCTGCATCTCTCCAGTGCTGCCTTCTCTGGGGACTTTTCCCTTTTTCTGGAGAGATTCTCCACCTGTCCCCTGACTGTTTGTCTCTTTCCCCAGCATCTCAGCACCCAGCTCCCAGGAAGAGATCTCTGCTTTCCTGGTAGCACGAGCATCCTCTGCCTCCCATGGACACACCTCAGTAATGCCACTGCTCAAATCCCCTGAGCACTCAGGGGTTCCTGAGGTCATAGTTGAGACCGCTGTGGGACCCCGAAAATGTGTACTCGCCCATGGACAGAGAGACCCCCAATCTCCACCCAGTTTGTGTTCTTTCCAAAAAGTTGCTTTCTTGAGGATTTTCTGCTTTTCCTGGGGGAGCTCCCTCACTGCCACCTCCTCTCCTCTCTCCCTTGTCTCCCAAGGGTAGAGCTCTTCCTTGGCCATGCCTTCTTGATAAACTTCTGGACCAGTGACTTCCCACTGACACATGGACACCTCCCTAGCCTCCCCACTGCCCACTGCTTCAGATCTGCCCTTGGTTCTCTCAGTGTTCTGGGGGGCTGACTGAGGGGACAGTCCCCCAGGAACGGTACCCTTCCCAACACACGCTGCCTCATGCCCCCTTACCAGCCTCTCTGGCTTTTTCTGAGCAATGGCACCCACCTCTTTGGGTTCTAGTTTTTTGGAGACTTTCCCTCTCTTGTCTTGGCAGTGATCTTCTAGATTCTGCCTTAGTGCTCCTTTCTTAGGACTTCCTTCACTCACCTCCCAGGGGCAGATTTCAGCCTTGCTGTCATGCAGACCCATTTCTGACTTGGTGACTTCCCAAGGGCATATTTCTGCTACCCTGTGGGCAGCACTGCCCAGGGGCAGGACACCAGCTTTAGGCCGTTCCTGCCACCCTCTAGGGTCTGGTTTTGCTTGCTCTGCCTTTTTGTCCACCGTTGTCCCCTGCCTGCCTTTTCTCAATGTAGCATGTCCTGTGTCACCTGCTTTCTCAGCTTTTCCATCCCCCCAGCCCTGGGATTTCCTCCTCCCTCTGTCTTCTTGCTTCCTGCTGCCCTCCTGCTGACAGACTTGGAGCATTCTGCTGGTGTGAGCATTCTGTTGGTTCTGGAGAGACTCTTCATCGTCACAGGGGGCAAGGGCAGCCTGCTTACTTATTCCCTTGGGCCGACCCACCCTGGGTGATTTGGGGGATGACCTCACACTTTCTCCTGAAGCTCTACCCTTCTCCTCTCTCTCAGGACTCTCCTTCCCACTGTCTTTCTCTAGATATGTGCTCCGAGAATGGGTTAGAGCTCTGATAGCCAGTCCCAGACTGCACATGGAACCCTGCTGAACAGGAGCCTTGAGGCTGTGGGATTTAGAGAGGACCGTGGGCCCGTCCTTGCCCAGGACCTCAGCTTTTCCCTGGAGACCCCTGTCCTCTGTGTCCATTTCATTCTCTCCAGCCCCTCTTTTCTCTGCTGAAACTGAGAGGGCCCTCCAGACCCTAGTCTGCACAGAGGCAGGGGAGTGGCTGCCTCGCTCTGGCCCTGAGGGGTCTTCTTGGATCACATTTTCTTTTCTTACTGGCAGTTCTGCATTCTCCCAGGGGCAGATGTAAGTGAGCAAGCTGGGGCTTTGAGGAGGCGCTGGGACAGGTGCTACAGCAGGGGCTGGAGCCAAGGTGGAGCTGGGTGACAGCACCCTTGGCTCTCCCAGGCAGGCCCTAGACAAGGTCAGGATGGGTGTGGAGACCTGGTGTCTGATGGGTGGGTGAGGCAGCCTCCTCCCAACCTCCTGATGGGGCTGCCTAGAGGCATGGGAACTGCTCTTGGCAGGGGAAGGTGGGGCTGACAAGGGGGCACCCCAGGCTCGTTGCAGCCTCTTGGCTGGTGGCCTTCTCTCTGGGCTTGCCTCTGCCTTCTTGCGCTCTTGCTCCTTTGCCTGTCGGTAACTCTCTTCCAGGTAGTCCTGGCTGACCACCAGCATGGCCTTTTCCCTGGAGCCAGTCACGATGCTGAGTGACTTCTGTAGGGAGGTGGGCCGCACTCTGGGAAGCCTCTCTCCCACCATCAGGTTGTGGGCACTGGCAGACCTGAAGCCGAGGGCAGGGGGTCCTTCCATGGACTCTCTGCTCTCCGCCTGTGAGGCCACCTTGGCCAGCTTCCTCCCCAGCAGCGAGTAGGGGAGAGGTGCATCCTGCTCGCTGTGGTGGTCATAGGTGCTGTGGGACTTGCGCAGGGCTTGTGGTCTTTTGTGTTCCTGGAGGCTGGAGCTGAGGAGCTGGCGGTGGGAAGAGCAGGGCAGGCTGCTGCGGCCTGAGGAGTGCTGCCGCACCAGGGCCTCAGGAAACTCGGCCAGGTACCTCATGAAGGAGCGGCCCAGACCCTGGTGCAAGCTGCCCCGCTTCTTGGGCAGGTGGGGGTTGTTAACAGCCATTTCCTTGGTCTTGTGGATCTCTAGCTGGGCATAGAGCTTCTTCAGCTCATCCTGGGGGGAGGGACAAGGGGAGCAGAGATTCTGAGGAGGAGGAAGCGCTACCTCTCCCCATCTCCAAATGCACTGTCCTCCTGAGCTATTTTGAGAGGTCTCCTTTCTACCAATCCAGATCCTTTCTTGCTTCTAAAACTCTCAGCGATCACCTCACTATTTCTCCAGAGCAGTGTCCAGGCAGCGCAGAGGACTCAGCCTACACTCCCCTCCCTGGGCCACTGTGCTCTGGTGGTAAGTCACCTGCTCAGGGAACAGGAAAACTGGATTCTGGATTGCGGACACACTATATAACTCGAGATTGTTTCTTGATGTCTCTTAGCCTCTGCTTCTAGAAAAGACTGATAGGAAATGTTGGAGTTAGTGTTAATGTCAAGTGTCCATTAAGGTGGAAGGTCTGTCCTCTTATATTCTGTATTTGTTCTCATAGTCAACCTGGGAGGAGCATATTGATTGGCTGCCTCCTGCTCCAGAAAGTAGGGGCCCAGGGTGGGTGCTGTTGTGGGTGGCAGTGGGCCTCCACACCTTCAGGCCTCCCTGCTGAGTGGGTCTCTGAGCTCAGCCTGTACCCCGGGGCCGGAAGTTGAGCTGGTGAGTGCAGGAGAATGCAAAAGGGAAAGAGGCTGAGGGCTTTGGGATAAGCAGTTGAAGGGTGTGGTGGTCTCTTCTTGAGGCTGTAAATAAGGCAGGTGTAGAGATGGACCCAATGAGCCCTGGTTGCACTGTAGGATACGCACTGGATTGCTAGCTGCAAGGTTCAGTAGTTCAAACCCACCAACTGCTCCAAGGGAGTAAAATGAGGCTTTCTGCTCCTGTCAAGCTTCATAGCCTTGGAAACCCTCTACACTGTCGCTGTGAGTCCATGGCAGTGAGTCCTGGGATTGCTCCTACATCTTGACGTCTTGTAAAACAATGGGCTGAGATTTCCAGGTCTCCTCATTTCCTACCCACCTAGCCTCTTATCAGGGTCCCAGTGACTCTCATGTTCCCCTTGAGCAGGAGAAGAGTAAGGGTGCTTTTCTGATTTAAGACCCAAAAAGCAGTTCCATTCTCTAAGGGCTGCCAGGTCCAGCGGAAGGAGAGCCTGGTGTGGAAAGTACCTGAGCCATCTCAGGTCCACTGAAGGCCCTAGGAAGACCAACTCTCCAGGGTTGCTAAGGACTGAAGGGTTTCCTAGCATGCCCCTGCCATGACACCCCTTGCTGAGTGGGTGGGGAGGACACGAGGGATGAGGGTACCTGGGGCTCAGGAACTGTGGTAGTCTTCACTCAGGTGGTTTGTGTGACCTCCTTTGAACAGACTCAAGTAACAGGTAGCAAAGCAAGGGAGACAGGTTGTGGAGAGCGGGACAACTAGTGGGAGGGGAGCCCATGTAGCAGGGTAACAATGCTCCCTCTGCCAGTCCAAAAAGCTAGCACCACCGAAAGGAGGCTGGGAGGGCAGCACGTACCCGAATGTCACTGGGGTCCAGGCTGCGCTCGCTCCAGGCTGAGGCGGTGCTGCTATGGAAGTAGGAGCCTGAGCGCCGCAGGTCCAGCTCATCTTCGTACATCTCATCCGCAGTCTCTTCCCGGGGTGGGCCCCCCAGCTTCCGGAACTGACAAGGAAGGGGTGTGAGTGGGAAAAGACTCATCTTGGCTCTGTTTACTCCTACTTCCATCTTTGGATTAAGTCTACCTTGTAAGCCTTCATCCCTCCCCTCTGATTCAGAATTACTCAGATCCATCCTTTCAACTCCAGACCCCAGCAGTTCTAGGCATGCCCGTCATCTCCCCCCACCTATCTTCCTGTAAGGCACTCTCCTTCCAAATAGATTCTCAAAGTCCACCAACCTTTCATTCTGGCCCTGGAAACAGAAGGAAAGAGTAGCTCCTCCTCACTGCTCTGTCTCACTCAGCCCAGCACCTTCTGTCACCCTCAACCTGACCTGGACTGGGTGCTGCGGCCACAGCAACAGACCCACAGTGCTTGACCTCATTGTGTGTGTGTGTGTGCACATGCATGCACACACACATTCCACCGCATAGCCCAGATGGGGAAAAGCTCACCTTGGGGATAAAGAGCAGAGCAAGTGTGGTGCTGACGGTGCTGTGGGTATGGAAGAAGAAAAGGACGAGGGTCCAGTCCGGGTGCAGGGAGGGGACCAGTGCAAACCTGATAGCGAAGGCAGAGTGGGGGAATCCTTAGCTGCAGGTGGGAATGGCTTATCCACTCCCCACCCCCACCCTGTCTTATTGGTTCTTCTAGCCCTGGTCTTGAGTGTCTGTAGAGGTGATAGGTGAGGTGAGGAGGGTGCCCTTCCTTCTTGTCTTCCAGGTGTCCCCACAGGCCACCTTGAGCTGCCTATAGCACAGACTTGTGCTCCACAGTTCTCCTAAGGACCCTGGTGGTTGGTTGTGCCAAGTCCTTAGGGACGCAGACACAGGCCTGAGGACCCGTGGGGAAGAAGGCTGAGGGTGGGGATGTAGTTGGGGGGTGGAACATTGTAGGAATGGGCATGGTAGGATGCTAGAGAGATGGAATTAGGAATGGGAAGTGAATTCAGACTGGGAGATATTCCTTTCCTTGGGCATTAGGGTCCATGTCATCCAGATGAGGCATGGGGTGCAAGAGGGGATCTGAGGGTGGTGGGAGAGCTACAGGTGAGAGGCCTTCCTCACTTGGCCAGGGCACATCAGTGTTGCAAGGTTGGCCGCAGGTGGGTGTGCCTCCACCTGGGTAGGTGAGGAGCAGTGTTGGGGGTGGAGGAGTTATAGGTTAGGTGGGTCTGCCCTCACCTGGCTGTGTGGAAGGCAGCAGAGAGCAGTAGCTCATTGTGTAGGGCGATACCCATGTAGCGCAGCTCATGAAAGGCCGAGGGCACAGCTCGGGTGGCGTAGCAGAGGAAGCTGCCCCAGCACAGGAGCAGTATCTCGGCTGTGGGAGGGAAAGAGGAGGCACTACCTCAGCAGCCATGCCACTCCTACCTCTGTAGGGCATGCTGAGGAGGAGGGCCAAGGGCCAGGAGTCGGATTAGGCAGGAGGAGCAGGCTGGGAGGACTCCTGGTAGTACAGAGTCAGCAGAAGCAGCTCACCCACAACCATGATGTAGTCCCACAGGTGGTGGTGACAGAGGTAGAAGTGGCGGCCAGTGGGAGTATGACCTCGGGCCACCAGGAATGTGTGCTGGAGGCCTGGCTCCAGGAGCCCTGCTGTCCATGCCACCAGGAAGCCCAGCACAAGCAGCAGGTGAAGCCCCAGGTGCTGCAGCAGCTGCCCGCTGCTCAGGAGGGGGCCCTGCTGGGCCGTTGGAGACACGAACAGCTGGAGCACTCTGCAAGGGTCAGGATGGTGGAAATGTGTGTGTGTGTGGGAGGGGGTGGGCACAGGGGAGGAGGGGGCTCCACCCATTGCTCCCCATTCCTCCACCCACCTTTCATGGCTCACTGCCTTTCCCCCCAAAATGTTGCCCTGGATGGCTGTTGTGTTGAGCCACAGGGCAGTGGGACTGGCAGAGGTCTAGCTTTGAAGAAATGAAGGAGCTGGGGTGATCAGTATGACAGCAAAGCCCCGCTCAGGTCTTACCTGTAAAGCCTGAGTATAATGGTGCCGTAGACAATGACAAAACCCAGCAGCCGCACCCAGCGGAGAGCGATGCAACAGAATACACTGGGCTTGAAGTACAGGATGAAAACCTAGGGCAGGGGAGAGGGGTGACAAAAATAGCTGCTCTCCACTGTGCTACTATGTGCTGGGCCTCATACTAAGCACATTATTGCTCATTCTAACAGCCCTAGTAGAGGGGCACCATCACCCTATTCTGTGGAGGACTAGTTTAAGTATCAGAGAGGTTAAGTAATTTGTAAATTAGGTAAAACAGCAGAACGTAGAGCTGTTTTAAATCTGAACTGTTAGACTCCAGTACTCACTAGGCCAGCCTGCCATTGGTGTGTATGAGCAAGGGGAAATGGAGGTCTCTGAGTCACCCCCATGAGGGCAGAGAGGAGAGGTTCTGAGGGTTTGCAGAGTACCAGGTTGGGGCTGTGCAGAGTTCTGAGATGGGGCCAGACTCACAGGGAGGTAGAGCAATAGGGATCCAAAAAGGATGATTTCCAACAGTGTAATCCCGGATGCCCGGATCCTCTGTAAACCCAGGAAAAAGAGAGGCTGGTGAGCGCCTAGACTAGGAACAGTGCAGCGTCTCAGGCCTGCTTTATGGCCTACTCTGCTGCTCCAAGGTTCTAAGCCTGTGGCTAAGGCTAAGGTTTTACAAAGCCCTCCACCACCCCATCCCAGACCAGGTTCTCCAGAAAGCCTCTCCCTCCCACCCCATGTTAGGGAGGACACCTAGTAGGTCCTTTCTCTGAACCCACCTCCATCCTAGTCCTTGGCTCTGTACTGTTGTTTTATTAAGTTCTGCTTCCTCCACTAATCTGGGTGCTTCATGGAGACAGATCTCGGCCCCTAGTGCCTATTCATGGAAACAGATCTCTGCCCCTGGTGCATATTCCTGGAGACAGATCTCTGCCCCTGGTGCATATTCCTGGAGACAGATCTCTGTCCCTGGTACATTTCCCTGGAGACAGATCTCTGCCCCTAGTGCCTATTCATGGAGGCAGATCTCTGGCCCTCGTGCCTATTCCTGGAGACAGATCTCTGCCCTTAGTGCCTATTCCTGGAGACAGATCTCTGCCCCTGGTGCCTATTCCTGGAGACAGATCTCTGCCCCTAGTACCTAGGCAGCGTTTTGCACAGAATAGATGCTCAATACGCATTGTTGAATCAAGTTCAAAGGCTGCATTTTACAGGTGAGGAAAGAGGTGAGTTGAATTGAGGCTCAAGAACAGAACCCATTTCTCCCAAGTTCTAGTCATAGGTAGTTTCAGGCCTCCAGTTGACACCAGGAACCGGAGATGGACAGGACATGTGTGCAGGAGAGATTCAGGGCCTTCCTTGCCTTGTTCCAGCGGCAGCGGTAGAAGACCAGCATGCTCAGGAAGACAGCCAGAATACAGCAGACCTGACAGGCCAGCACGGCCGCCCGCAGCGCCAGAGCCTCCTCCACCAGACACGGCGTGGCATCCACACAACTGGTACAGCCCTCAGGACAAGGCTGGCACCGTATCAGCCTCCTAGAGCTGCCTTGCAGGGACCCAAATTGCCCAGTAGGCTGGGCTGTGCTCTCCTCTAACCCTATAAAGAACAAGATATGTGCAGGGACAAAGGCATAGCTAGGGTCTCCTTCCTGAGTCCCCAACCACCTCTGTCTATGGTCACACACACCCCATTTCCCTCTTGTGGCCCGTGGGGCAGGGGCAGGATGAGGAGCACTGAAGAAGTAGGTACTCCTAAAGAGGGCAGGGAAACAGGTAGAGGTGGTCTCAGATTAGGGCTCACTGGAGGATCAAGATGCATTAGAATGGCAGGTTGTGGACTCATTCTGAGAAGGCATAGACACTCCTCCAAACAACCCTACCTGCCTCTCCTCCTCCCTACCTCAGCTCTTGTCCCACAACTTTTATTCCAGTATCTCGTCATGACTCTGCCTTCCTTTCCTAGATGTCCCTTGAGCCCAGCTTGTAAATCACCACTTGCCCTCACCCTAGGTACATACCGCCAGAGCCATTTGCCCTGTAGAAGCCAAGCCGGCAGCGACAGAGATAGCGACCAAGAACAAAGCCCTGATTCTCCAGGGGGACACACTGTGGGAAATAAACATGGTATGCATTTGGGGCTTTCCCTGGAGGTGTTTTCTCTCCTGGGAAGAAAGAGATAGAAGGTCTAACTTTCATAGCACCTGAGTCCCCATTAGGGAATCCCACCAGAAGCCCTTCTTCTATGGAAATCCACTGCCATCTCCACAGTTGCCTCTTTCTCAAAGAGATCCCAAGGAAAGAATATGGAACTGGGTCACCCCTTGTTCAGACAAGCAGCGATAGGAACCCCACAGGTTCTATTTCCCCGTGTCCAGCTGTTCTTAGGATACAGTGCTGGGGGTGATGAAAGTCAGGGAGAACTTGAGTCCAGGCACACCTTGAGTGTCTAGATCCTTCTTCAAAGGTCTCCCTTATTGACACACAGGTGGGTTGAAAGGACCCCCATAGAGAAGCAGCTTCCTCTACCAGGAGCCATCTGGCTTTGGAATAAGACTGCTTTCCCCAGCCCTAATGCCAGGCTGGTGGGATGCCAAGGTCAGCCTTTTCTTCCACTTCCACCCATTGATGCTTGCCCAGCAGGGGATGAAGCAGGCCTGAAAATCAGGCCAGAAAGCAGAGTGTATGCATGAGGTCAGATCTGCTGTGTCCATGGCCAGGAACAGACATGAGTGGGGCAAAGGGAAAGGACAACTCTGGGGAGTTCCATATCCAGTCCCTGGCATACCTTGGAAGCGTTAGAGCAGAGCGTGTGATGCTGTGACCCAGCCTCCCCCTTCTTACCTGGAACACTGGCGCACACTCTGTTCCTGCCACAGTCTGCATGATCAGACAAATGTGGACCCAGAGAAGAGAGGGTTAAAAAGTGGCCCGGACCGTGGTAACCCTTTTCCATCCCTGGACTTACAGCTCCAAACACTTGTGTGCATCAGAGAAACAGGCCCAAACTGCCCCACCTCCCAGCAGGCTGCAGGGCTTGGTTCAACTGAGGAACATGCAGGCAGCCAATGCAAAGGAGTCGCTGATTAGTCCCCTGCCTCCTGGTTTCTGACTGGCTTACAGAATTACTGGCCATTGCTCTCCACCAGGTCAGGTTTACCTGCACCTGCGTCTACTGGTGTGGCACTGTGGGTTAATGCACCAGACTGCAAAGCCGTTTGAACTGCAAGGCCGGTGGTTCAAGCTCACCAGCTGCTCCTCGGAAACCCTATACAGGGTCGCTATGGGTCGGAACCAACTTGACAGCACTTAACAACAACAAACATGTCTACTGGAATGAGCTCTGGTAGTGTACTGGTTACGAACGGTCTGCCAACCGCAAGGTTAGCAGTTCGAAACTACCAGCTGTTTCACTAGAGAAAGATGAGGCTTTCTGCTCCCGTAAAGATTTACGGCCTTGGAAACCCTGTCCAGGGTTGCTATGAGTTGGAACCAACTCCACACACATAACCACCACCACCAATGTCTACTGGTATGGTGCAGTGAATTAATGTGCTGGACTGCAAAGTCAGTTTGAACCGCAAGGTCGGCGGTTCAAGCTTACCAGCTGCTCCCCAGAAATCCTTTACAGGGTCGCTATGGGTCGGAACTGACTCGAAGGCACTTAATAACAAATGTCTGTTTGCCAGCGTCTGGCCTGAGTTCCTTCACCAGCCCCAGAGCTCATCTTGGCTGCATTCCTCCCACACCCCATTCAGCAATTGCTTTTATTTTGACAAATGCCAATGGAGCATCCTTTGGAGCTCTGTTGACTCAGAGAATGCTGTGCAGGGAAAGGAAAAGACATGAGATTACTTGAGGCTTAGGAGGTGGCCCTGGGGGTGGGGTGGGGAACCCTGACATAAGAGCAGGCAGGGATGGGCACTGAATTTCAAAGGCAGGTGAGATTACAAGTAGCCTCATTTTTTAAAAACGTTGGTATCTCACCTCTGCAAATCCCTAGGGACTCCCCACAGCCACCTGGAGAGTCTGGGTTGGTTTTGTGAGCTGCTCCTCACAAAGAGGGAGAGAGGCAGACTGGAGCCTAGTGCCCCTCCCCTGCTCTTCTTGTCCTTACCTGGGTGCTGTTGAGGTCACACAGGTGTGTATTGGAGTACCAGCCTGGGCCACTAGCACACTGATTGATGTCCACACTCTGAAGATCCACGTCCATCTGCACTTGCCCCCTGGAGCAGTGAACTTGCCATTAGGGAGAATGCTACGGACATGTGTTTATGTCTACCAGACTATAGGCAATGCAAGCTTTGCAGACTTATCACAGTGGCTGCAGTATGCTGGGGAAAGACACCGATGGTTTCCACTTCTCCACTGCTCTTAACCCTCACTGTCTCCATGGGCAGCAGTCCCCCACCACTAGGCTGTTCCCACACTGCTCAGTTTTTCAACATCCTATCATTTTCTGGTTTCTGTCAATGGGTAGAGAAGGGACATGTAAAGACATGCGAGAACTAGGACACTGATGATCTGTCTACAGGGGATTTTTTCACTTTACCACTGCATACACACAAACACACACACACACCACTCAGCTATCAACCACCCCCTCACTCTGTCCAAGCCAGCTCGAAACCACAGCAAAGAAAGTGCGGAATGAAAAGCCATGAGGTAGAGCTGTCTGGGCTAAGCTGGGAGAGAGCTGGCAAAGAATCAGGAGGAGAGGGACCTGCCGGGGGTCAGTGTATGGGCACACAATAGCTGGAAAAGTAGTGTTGGTGCTTGAATGCCTTATAGTGCTGCGTTCAATCGCTGCCCCTTCCCAGCAGGCATCCTCTCTGACCCTCTACTTTATTGTGGCTGAGGGAAGAGGTCAGTTGTTTGAAGGGTACCAGGCTCCTGGGTCAGGACAGGCAGGGCAGAGGACCCTGTTTGAAGTAGGAGGATGACCATTGGAGAGAACTTGGGGACTTGACCAGCTCCGGGACTGGGCTTCCAAGCCCTGCCTCCACTAACTTTCCTTCCCCCGGAGAAACCTCCTCATAGATCTCTGAAATTCTTAGAGAGCTGCAGGTTTAACTCTTGGAGTAGCTAGCCAAGTGCTTCTAAGAAGTCTGGTGGATGGGTTGTCGCTGTCATTATGTCAAACTATATACTCCTCAGACCTTGGGCCAAGACCTATGCCCACATCTAACTCTACTCACTCCTGTGGAGATACCTATACCTAGGGGTATTATGTATGTAGCGACCCTGTGTAGGCTTTCTGAGGAGTGGCTCGTGAGTTTGAACCACCTATCTTGCTGCTCAAACCGACCCGTGGTCAAGTGCTTTATCCTACAGTGCCACACCAGGACTCTTAGGTGTAAGTATACCTACATGTATATGCATAGGCTCAGAGACCTTCATTCATCTTCCCAAACACATAAACATAGATACCCAGAGGAACAACATATAAATGAATTGGTTTACATACAGTGTGAACACTCAGATTATAGTTTCCAAAACTGATTGCAAATATACACATCTGCTCCCCCCAGACACACATGTGGGTGCCAAGTGACCCGTGCACAGCACACTTGTGTCTACCCCTCCAACTCCCCCACCCCGAGCCTGCTTGAGCCCCCTCCCTCATGCCCCTATAAATGCATGGAATCCGACACAAGCCCACTTACCTGACTTCTGGGCTGAGATCTGGCTTGAGTCCGTAGAAGGTGGCTGAGAGTGTGATAAGCCATCCGGGACGGAGTCGACCTTGCTGGCATTCCAGGAAGGGAGGAGACTGTCTTATGTGCTGCATGTTCCCCAGGTAGCCATCCCCTCGTGGCCACTTGGGACTGCCAAGGGTCCCTAGGTCATTGGTCAACACTCGCTTCTGTAGGGCAAGGGGGTCCAGGTCCCGGTCATGGCTCTCCTCCAGCACCTTGCTCCCAGTCAAGTCCTGAAGGATGGTCTCCTCGTGCATCCGGGTGGCCTGCAAGGCCAGTTGCAGGTGGCTGGCCCCTGGTGGAGGGCTAAAGGTGAGCAAAGCCCTGTATGCCCTTGGGTCCCCCTCAGCCACACTTCGAACCAGTGCCTGGTACCACTCCACATCCTCTTCTACACTGGACTCACGGATGTCGTTGGCTTGCAGCAGCATGTTAAGGAAATTGGCAGCCTGGGCAAGGCTACCTGCTGCTCTGTGTAGGATTGGAGGAAGCGCTGTGTTGGCTCCTGACCCTTGGGCTTCATAGCGCTTACTGCAGTTAGCCCCCAACAGTTGCTGGGCATCTCCAGAGTAGAGAAAAGACAAGGCTGCCTCTGTCCCCTCAGGGGACATCTGGATGGGCACAGATTCTGGCTGGGCTTGGGAAGACAGTGGGGGTAGAGAGCGCAGGGGTTGCGGACCCCCCAGAGCCCAGGCGCAGAGAAAGCAGCAGCCCAGCAGCCCCCACACAGAAGGGGGCATGCCCCCTGCCCTGGGACCCATCCTGGGACAGCTCTCAGGAATGCTGGGACACTGGCTATCTGGAGAATTTGACTGCTCAGGAGAGCAGCAGAGGCTGGCCCCAGAGCTGCCTGCCTGCCTCCACACCTCCTAGCCCAGCTTTTCCTCTCCCTCTCTCAGCTCACACTGTCTCGCATGCTTTTCTTCTCTCTAACGTCATCTGCTGGCTTATGGACGTAGGCATGAGGGCCATGTTCCCTCCCTCTCAATGTGCCCCCCCATCATTTCAAAACCTTTGAATCCAGGCAAACTACTCTCCCCCATTTCACCCAGGATCCTGGAGCCCCTACCCTTTACCCCACATCTGTTCCAGATAGAGGGAAGGGAAAAGGGCCAGGAGGGCTCTCTCCAGCTTCCCCCTTCTGCCCTTTGCTCCATTAGGAGAGATGGACAAATCCAGGCTGGGCACCATAGCAACTGCAGCTAAGCCTCTGCCCCTCTCTCCACCCCTCTGCTCCACTCGGCTTCCTGGCAACAATTGCAATGGGCATGATAAAGGGCCAAGCTGCGTCGCCTGGAAATCCACTCTGGCTGTGTGCACTCCCGACATTGACACCAGATTGGGGACGGCAAGGATGGGGGAAGAGAGCCTGAAAAATCATAATCAACCTTTTTTATAGACAGTGGCCGTTTATGAGGTACTTTGGATGTGCTTTATCTCAATAAATGACCCCCACAACCTGATTCAGACACTGAGGCTCAAGCAGGGACTCACCCAACTACTCACTCAAACCCAGATCTAGACTGCACAGTCAAACCATCATGGCCAACTTGCTGCCTCAGAGACTATCATTAAAACCAAACTCATTGCTATTCAGTTGATTTTTGTTTTCTTTACATTGAGGTGCAACCCATACTGAAGACTGTGGTCTTTGATTGTCATCAGTAAGTATTTTAAGTCCTCTTTGCTTTCAGCAAGCAAGGTTGTACCATCTGCGTATCTTCAGGTTGTAAGTAATCAAGTACAAACCATTTGTACTACCCAGGGACTACACAAAACCTCATTGTTGTTAAGTGCCATCGAGTTGATTCTGACCCATAGCGACCCTGTATAGGCTTTCCAAGGAGCAGGTGGTGAGCTTGAACCACTGACTTTGCAGTTCAAAGGACTTCGCAGTCTGACGCCTTAGCCCACAGCGCCACACCAGGACTCCACAAAACCTCATTACAGAGCAGTAATCAAGGCCCAAAGAGGCAAAGAGATTTCTGTTGTTTGTGACAGAGCTGGAGTTTGCACCTAGGTCTCCACCTCCCCACCCATGCCTTTTTTCTCTTACACTGTAGGGTTAGCAATCACAACAGCAATGATATGTTAGGGAGCACAGAGACTTGGGGAGGAATATACAAATCTTGGGAGGGAGAACGTCTGGTGAATGGCCAGCCTGACGCAGCACAGCCATCTCAAACAGCTTTGGCAATAGAAGGTAGCCTGGCAGAGCAGATTCACACAGGTGATTGGAAAGGTGCAATCCTTTTCTTTTCCCCTGGGAACTAGACATGTGACCAGCTCCCACCCACATCTACCCTCAGCACAGCCCCTGCTGTCCAGAATTTTGGAGCCACATGATTGGGAGTGTGAGGCAGGGGACAACTGTACCACTTGGGTTCTCTGTTTTGGTGCCTGGATTCAGGTGGGTTTGGCTTAGGACTTATAGAACCCATAGAGCCACTAGACCAGCATTTAAAAAGTCACCGTGTCCCCAGCTGCTCATGTTCCAAACAGACACTGAAATGAGTTCCATCAAGGGCCTCCATGATCTACTTCTGGACTGCGTGGCCTGAACATAGATAACAATTAGGCCTATAGGAACTCCATTGTCATAGCCCTCCCACAGCCACCTCGTTCCATTCCTTGTTCCATTGGCTTGCAGGAGCACCCCCCAGAGTTTACTCCTTTTTAGGTCCAATGGTTGCACTGTTATTGTTTTGGGGTTTGGTTTTTTACTTTTGTTCTTTGTTGTTTTTGTTTGTTTGTTCTTTCTCCTCCTTCTTCTCTTTCCATTCCCTTGAATTGTATCCTTACTACCTCTGCTTTTTTTTAAATTTTTTATTTTTGTTTCTTTTGTCTCTCATTTTCCCTCTTCTCCCCACTCCCCACCCCCTCTTTTTGGTCTTTCTTTACTACTCTCTACTTTCTTTCTCTTTTCATCGGACCTGTCCCTGGTTTTTCTAAGGGTTATTTTTTTCCTTTTGCTTTCTCTTTTATGCTTCATTTTTCCTTTCCCTCATTTCTCTTTTTAGTTATTATATTACTTTTTCTGTTCCCTGGCTGTTTTTAATTATTTGTTCTTCTTGATTATTTTATCTTAATTCTGTTTTGCTTCCTAGAGTGTGTGTGTGGCAAGTGATGAGGTTGTTTTTCCCGCCCAACAGGAGACAGCAACCATGTCCATACAGCCCAGCCACAACTGAACCCTCTGCAGCTCCACCCACTGGGGAAGAGCCAATACCAGCTCCTATACATGTGATCAATGATAGACAACAGCCAACACCAGCCGTTTAACCCACTGTAAACTGAGGTGCCCAAATGGTGAAAGAGAACAGTATGTATATTTTCATTCTCTAACAACACCCACAGGAAACAATTGGTGAGAGTCTAAGAACATATCAACATACAATTATCAATTAAATACAAATATAAAAACATTACAATGTTCCAGAGACAATAAACAATTTTAGCTCACATGAAGAAACAAAAGAGAATGGCTCAAACAAATGATCAAGATGCAGAGCTAAAAGATGTTTCTGAGGAAGAAAAGGTAATGGAACTAAATGCAAAGAATTCAAAGGAATGATATTTAGGTACCTACAAAAGGACTGACAGAAAGATTGAGGAAAGCAAGGAGAACACAGAAAAAACTTTTGAAGAATGCAGGAAAACACTACAAGGACAAACAGACCAAAAAAATGCAAAATTTGAAACAATACAAAGCTTGTATTTAGAAATCCAGAAGATTAACACTAAGATTTCATAAATGGGCAATACACTGAAAGGGCAAAAAGAGTAGATTTGAATCAATGGAAACCTGAATTAGTAAGCTTGACAATAAATCTCTCAATACTAGTGTGCTAGAAGTACAATCAGAAAATGAATGAAAGCATTTGAAGAAAGCCTAAGAGTTATGTGGGACAGCATGAAGAGGAACAACTTACTGGTGACTGGAATTCCAGAACAGAAAAAAGACACCAAAAAGCACAGAGAAAATTGTCAAAGTTTTTTTGGAAGAAAACTTCCCTAATATCATGAAAGATGAGAAGATAAGCAAACAGGAAGTTGAATGAATCCATAAAAGGAAAGATTCCAAAAGAAAATCATCAAGACATATCATAATCAAACTTACCAAAATCAAAGATAAGGAAAGAATTCTGAAAGCAGCTTGGGAAAAATGAAAAGTTACCTCCAAAGAAGAACCAATAACAGTAACCTCTAATTTCTCAGTAGAAACCATGCAGGTGAGGCAGCAGTGGGCTGGCTTATGCAAAGCTCTAAAAGAAAAAAAAAAAAAATTGCCAACAAGAATCATATACTCAGCAAATCTGTCCTTCAAATGAAATGGTGAAATTAGAACATTTCCAGATAAACAGAAATTAAAGGAATTTGTAATAACAAGACCAATTTTACAAAATACACTAAAAAAATGCTCTTTGGCCTAAGAACTAACAACAGCATACAAAAACTTGAGATTACCATAACATGACAACATTACCCAGAACTCAATTCAGATATATAAGTATTTAAAGTAAAGCAAACTTACTGGACTGAATATAGAGAACCAGAGATCAATTTATAATTAAGTCAACTATGAAACAAAAAGGAGGGAATAGTGTAGACACAAAAGTTCCAAATGGCAAGGAAGTCAATACATTTCAAGATAAAACAGACTGTTTTAAATGGGGAAAAATAATAAATTACAGGGTAACCTCAAAGAAAATTAATATACTTTCACAAGAAAATATAAAAGGAAAATAAAAAAGATTTAGTAGACATTAACTTGATGTTAGGTACCATCAAGTTGTTACCAATTTATAGCGGCCTTATGTACAACAGAACAAAACACTGCCCAGTCCTTCCTGCACCAGCTTACAATCATTGGTATGTTTGAATCCATTTCATTGGGGTCCATCTCACTGGGGGATCTCAAGCGTATTTTTTAGTGTATTTTGTAAAGTTGGTCTTGTTATTACAAATTCCTTTAATTTCTGTTCCCTCCTTTTGTTTCATAGTTGACTTAATTATGCTTGAGCCCATCTCACTGGCAGTCCATCTCATTGGGGGGTCTTCCTCTTTTTCGCTGACCCTCCATTTTACCAAACATGATGACCTTCTCTAGGGACTGGTCCCTCCTGATAATATATCTGAGGTATGAAAGACAAAATCTCACCATCCTAACTTCTAACACAGATTTGTTTGTTCTTTTGGCAGTCCATAATACTTTCAATATTCTTTGCCAACACCATAACTCAAATGCATCAATTCTTCTACGATCTTCTTTATTCATTGTTCAACTTTCACACACATATGAAGTTATTGAAAATGCCTTGGCTGTACAGAGCATCAGTGAAAACAGGGGCAAACTTAGGAGCTCTGATACATGGAATAAATACACTATCAAACATAACTGAACTCAAACAAACAGAAGACAAAATAGATAACTGGGACCTCCTAAAAATTAGACACTTACCAAAAAGAGTAAAAAGAACCCACAGACTAGGAAAAAATGTTTGGCAACAACATATTAGATGAAAGATTATACTCTCCAAAATGATAAGAACATTTCAAGGCTTTGACAAGAAGAAGATAAATAATCCAATTTAAAAATGGGCAGAGCACATGAACTTCACCAAAGAAGACATTCAGGAGGCCAACAAACATATAAAGAAATGCTCAAGATCATTAACCACTGGTGGTGGTATGCTATGGAGTCTGTTCCAACTCATAGCAACCCTGCATAGGGTCCAAGGCAGTAAATCTTTATAGGAGC